TAAAGTGGTTCGGTTCGGATTTTTTTTCAAAATGGATCGGATTTTTCAATATGGATCGGTTCGGTTATGGATCGGTTCGGATTAATTTGGATTTTTTGTACACCCCTATCAAGAATGGCGAAGCCAATACGTTTTATGCGTCCATCGAATTGGATTTATGAATAATGAATACTAGTATATTTAAGAAATTTAATTTGATCATTATTTTAGGATGGAGAAATACTTATTCAAGAGTAAGTGATGTTAAATTTATTTTATTTAACAGTTTTTATAAATGTTACTTTTTATGACTTAATCGTTAAATTGATTTTTATTATTATTAAATAGATTAAATTTTACAAAATTTCATATAATTAATTTATTAATGTTTCGTCAATTAATTACATCTTCTAAAATAAAAAAATACTGAACAAAAGAACATAAGAAGTCGTCACCAAAAATAAAATCTCGTCACCCAAAAAAAAAAGGACATAAGAAGTATTAAGTTCGGTTTCAATGCAGTGTTCAATCCAAATACTTTAATGTAAATAAGATTTAGTTTTGATTAATTTTTATTATTTATATGATTTTTCAATAAACAAATTAATTTATTATAATTCATTAAAATGTATAAATTAAAATTTAATAAAATAAATACATATCCAAATTAATGTGTTCAAATATATTAAACGCAAATTTATAATACAAGTCCAAACAAATAATATAATATTATAAAATCGTTTAAATAATAATTTTATATTTTTTAATAATATACAAATTAATTATTTTGTATTATGTAATTTTTTTTATATTAATTTTTTTTATATTTTAGTAAATAAATACATTATTATTGATTATTATTTTTTTGCATTTCACTCTAAAATTTCACTAAATATAAGTATACTTGTATTATTAATTTTCTACAATAACTTTATTTGTTTTAACATTACAAGTTTTTTTTTATGTGTATATGATTCATTAAAAACAAACGTGCTTAAGTAGAACTACTATAAGTAGTAAAGTGCTTCTTTTAATCATTTAATACAATTACATACTTAAAACTTGAACTCAAAATCATGAATTAAAACAAAACAACTCTTTATCAATTGAACATAAAGGATGATCACGTAACTCGAATTTGACCAACACCTGAAGAAATTGAAAACCAAATTAATGGTCAAGTAATGATCAAATTAGTTACCAAATAAAATAACTTATAAAATTGAGTTAAAATGGTTGCTTGTGGATGATTTGAGTTAAATATTATTTTTCATTGATACCCATTTTCAACTACCAATGTACTTATACATATTATTATGTTTTAAAGTAATGTTATATATTGTCAAGTTACATGCAAAACCAATGTCATAGTTTTATTATTTATTTATTAAGTTAAAAGTATAAAATATATTGATAAGATGTCACAACAATGTAACCTTGCATTGGAACTCAAAAATTATTAAAGTGTGCAACTTTAAAACTGAAATTGTTTAGTCCATTGTCCCATCCACACATAAATGTCTTTCTTTTGCAACTTTAGTAACAAGTCACAATACTCCTTCTTCAAGGTAGTCCGTTCTGTTACTAAAGTAGCTAATAGCTACTATGACTAGTAGCAAGGTTCAAAACAAAGTTTCAACATCATGAGAGGAAAAACTTGAATGAAATGTTTTAATGTTTTTTTTTTTCCTTCTAATTCTGAACACTTGATTTACTACTAACTTACTCAAATTTATATGTCATAAGCTCTACTACCAAGTTAGAATAGCCATTTTTGGTGACACTCAAACTCATCACAACGACCATCGTTAGCTATACACGGTTGTTGATCCAACATTAATTTTATATTTGTCTTCATTTGATGACTTGTTCCAATTCATCTACCTGCACCTACATCTCATGAACCCGAAAATTGATAGCTCGAACAACCTTCATAGTCAGTGGCGGAACTTGGATTAAAAGTTTGGAGGTATCAAATTATTACTTTTATATATAAAATTATAAATTAAATTTTTTATTAAATAAAAAAATAGAATTTTTTTTTTTTACTCAATTTTTTAATTTTATTATAATTAATAATATAACAATATATAAATATAATATTAATATATATATATATAT